ATAATTAATTATTAATTGAACCATCTAAAGGATTAGTTGTGAGTTTAACAAATTAAAGGATTATTAGTATGGTGTTTGAGAAGAGAGGATCTAAAGTATGGAGTCATATGTAGGGGATTCTGTCAATGCGAGAGTAAGGTTTCTATCGCCGAGTATTTGTGCTGCAGACCCTTTTTTGCGATGGTGTGAGTTCGAGTCCCATCAGAGATCTCTCTCTTAATCCAATTCAAAAAGTATAATTGATATTTCAAGGATTCGCACAATTCTCACGACATAACAAATATCAACGATCTCCTTATGCTAGCAACATGTTTTTACTAAGCATGACTAACATTGAATAGCATTGTAATTTATTAAAGCATTATTGGAGCAGAGCTCGGGCAAACATGAAGCAAAAACCAGTTTTTTAAGAATTTTAAAATGATAATTTGAACACTTACTTGCTTACTTCTCTGGCCGTACAGATCAATTGTGATCCCTGTCCTCTCTTAGATGGTGCAAAGATGGTGCTTTTGCTGGCTACCGCTTGCCGATTACTAATACCAAATGTAATACTGGTAATACTGTTATCAACGACGGCTTCAGCCAAATTTCAACACATCAGTCCAAAATTATCATTTAATTCGAGTTAATTATTAGTAACTCTCTAGCTTTTAATTCGATCTATTTATTACATGTTTTGTCTGCTTTTCAGGTTGCAATAATTTAAAGAACCTTCTATCCTTAAGTTTAGCTTAAAAAATTCAAAATTAACTCGCCGTTCCCATCCGTCAGTTTCTCACAGTTTGTTGGGCAATAAATCAAAATGCTCTTCACCGAAAAGTAATTTTTTAATTCCACATTTTAAACACGAAAAGTAATTTCACGCTTGCAATTAAAATGGCCAGATTTTCATTTAAAATCCTTCACATTACATGATAAAAATATTTCCACGAAGATCATTAATTGTAATAACCAGTAATAAACTTTGTATCATGTAAAGTTATTTATGGCTTTACATATTTTATGTTTAAGAGGATTAAGAACTTTGAATTACATAAAATGTAATTTTGGGTTAATTTTTAATTGCATGTAGAGTTCTTTATGCAAGGTATGGAGATGATTTGAAAGCTTTTGTAGCAAGAGTTGTAAATTTATGATTTTTAAGGATGTAAATTGATGCAATCTCTAAAGACTCCTTAACTCCACATCCTTATATTCCCACATCCATCTATAACCACAAATTTCCTGATTAATACCCGGAAACAAGCAAGAAAACACGGTATTTATATAAACCACAAAATCATTACCTCATTTCCTACCAAAGTCATATGAATTATTCATTAATCTACAAATCCTGCAGTCGAGCATAAATAAAAATAGAAACAAACAAGAAGCAAAACATGCAACATCACACACTAATTTTCCGCATTCTAATTTTTTTTTTCATGTTATTTCGCTTCTTTTTCATCTATTAATATTCTCTCGGGTACGAACGTACATTTATGCTATGTTATATTAACTCACAATAACATTTTATGTTTATTATGTTGCATGTGAAATATGTGGCATAAAGTTTTTCGGGATTATACAAACTATTTTCTATGTTATTTGGGTGATTATAGTTTTTATTTGGTGATTGATTTTTGTAGTTATTCGATAATAAGCTTTGAAAGATCAACAAGGAAGTTATTGAGTTCAAAAAATTTCAAATACAGAAGCTAGAAAATTAAAATGAATTTAGATAGAAAATTAAATTGTGAATTTTTAGATTTATCAAGTCAATATGACCCAGATTATGTGCAGGAATAAATTTATTCAAATTCTAGAATTTATTTTTGAATTTGCATAATTTGAAAGCATTGAACTAGAATGTATGATTATGCACACCTTCAAGTTTTCATATTTTATTGAATTATCGGAATTATCTAATTAATTTGTATTTTAGAATGTTGATTTTGTTTGTATATTTACTTTGCATATTGACCTGATGATGATTGAAGATATTGCAAGTTATTCAAATACAAACTAGTATAAAGATTCCCAGATCTAGTCGACTTCAGCGTTTTTTTCTTGCATAGGTCAGTAAACTTATTCATACTCTTAATTATACCAGATTCACAATCTTTAGTACTAGGTCCGTAACAGTCTATCATTCAGGGGACTTAATATAAAGTTCTAGGAAGATATAAACTGAATCTAGTTACTAAGCTTGTAGTAATATCCAATTCACATCCAGAACAACAATGCAAAGACCAAGAATGATCCAAGTCACGTATCAATCATTTGTATCTATATGTCAGTTATTTTGTATACAGATTTTTTTGTAATTCAAACTTATAACGGATTTTTCAAATTTAAAATCAATGACTGTTTTACAAAAATCAGTCATGCCGCCAATAGAGAGAAAAGTTAATTTTACTAAGTTATGGTAACGAATTAGAAAAAAAAATTAGATTAAGCTAGCTTACAACAAGGGAGCTCATGAATGCAGAAAATTCGAAGTCTTCGTATGCTTCTTTTGCTGAATTCTCAGTAAACCAGCCAGACAACTAGTCAAATAGAACTTAAAAGTTTATTGCTAAAAAGGAAAATATGCTTAAATGTCCTGACTTCAATGCAGTCGTCTTGATTTTAATTTTGATAAAGTATTAATCCTAAAACTTGCGTTTGATACTTCATTCTATCATTAATAAGGTTTCAAGGTTAAAATTTAAGTGAAATTCTTGGTTCAATTAATAAAATTCATAAAGTTACTAAGGGGACTTATGACCTCCAGGGGAGTCAGCAAGAATAGAACTATAGAAATTCCTTTAAATCCATTGTTCTTTTTTGAAAAATGACCGTTAATTTCGGACGTCATAAGTGAACGACCCCTAATTTGATTAATAAAAATTTAATTTGAATCCAAATGAGTCAACTCTGTAGTCTCGAATAGTGTTGAATGCTATGATCCCTAACGCAATCAGCTCAATTAGAGTCACGCAACAGACTCATGTTGCATAATAAATTTAATTTAATTAAATTTCCATCTAAAAACATTTTTTTTATTCGAAAAAAAAAATATTTTTTCAGAAATTTGAGGTTATTCATACAATTATGGCAGTATACATGATTATTATCTAACTCATTTAAATGTTGTCATTAGAATTTCAAATGACTCTCTCGTTCCCATAATAATGTTTTATCATCTATCTATATAAAATATGATCATAATATATTTTATATCAAATTATTTCTAGAATTTATAAAAAAAAATAATAAACATAAACAAATGCAATTAGGATTGAAAATTCCATTGCATGCCTTAAAGCCAGCTGCATATTGATATGAATTTTCCCATGCTCAATATATCAAGCTTTAAATTTAATTAAATGTCATGTTTTTGATGCTTTATGCTTTCATTTCATGCAATTTTGCGTACATAAACAGAGCAGAGGAGGACAATACCCAAAAGTGAGCATTCTCGACCGACGAGAGCTATAGAGATGAAAAAAATGATAAAATAATTAATTAGTCAGTTTTACCGATGCCAACCGCGTACAACATAATAAATTAGGCTCTCGCTCTCGTGTTTTTTTATGCTTAAGCTTAAATGCTATTTTGCATCACATCGCATACCCTCTCGTGCTCGCATTATACCCTTCCCATTATAATAATTGACATTAGTACCAAAAAATTTAATTAAATGCACTTAATTTGCATAATAAATTATGGGGGGGGGGGGGGGGGGGGGTGAGCGAGTGGACATTGAACGGATGTTGAGGAGTTTTAAAAAATGAGAGATGAACAATTTTGTGAGTAAAATTTATGGCCAATCGACGCTTTCAGCAATAAACGATGAACTGAATTGGGTCAATGAATTTTTATGCATTTATGCAAATAGTTTATTGAACATTGAATTATGTTTTTGTTTTAAAAAAAACTTTGGTATGACAATTTTTATTGATGAGAAGTTTGGGGATGCACGAGGAAGTTAGAGTGACATTGTTATGATTTCATGAAGGATAAGTTTTTTGTCAGGTTTTAATGATGACATCCTGAAATTATGGCTTTAGACAGAGGCTTTTTTTATGGCTAGGGTTGTGTAGAGACATCTCTTATAGCAGTGATGTCTAACCCATGTGCCGCGATACACTAGAAATCCCACGAATCTTTCAGCTCGTGCGGTTTTGGTAATGGCTTACCACAAAGGTGTGCCGTGGTACAAGAAAGGTTTGACACCACTGCTCTAGCCACATTCTATTATATGGGATACTATTGGATACTAACCTAGACATTATGACCAGGGGACATCCCAAGAATCATATCTCTGATATTTTTGTAGGAGAAGAAGTCCAGAACTAGTCCAAAGTATGAGATCGTGGGGCAAGCGTGGCGCTGGCGTAGCTTAAATTTTGCAATATGCTAACACCCAGCTGGCTGAATCAAGGTAGCAGAACTTATCAAAAATTATCAAAATATAATTTACCAGTTCCTTGGGCAGAAGGGCACATGATTCACTTTTATTTTTATTATTACTGAAGGACCTGATTATGTTGAAACCGAAGTTATTAGACTGCTTGGATAGCTGGATCAAATTCCTTAAAAATCTCAAAAAACTAGAACAATTCGAACAACATTTTCCTAAAAACTAATTAATCCATCAAAAATAGTCGACCAATTATCGATTATCCAACAATCCAACATACAGCCACCACCATAGGCTCATATTGAAGTATATAAATACAGAAAAATTCTTCTTTTTAATTTGATTTATGTTTGTCAATTTCAGATATTCATTTTTTTCATATCACAAAAAGTTTCTTAATTGCTCCACATACACATATTTTTTTTACATCCAAAAATAAAAGCTAAAGAGAAACAACAAAATATCTCTCAAAATATCAGCAACGAACAAAGTAAATAGATTAATTGAACATGCCAATATGTAATTTATAGTCACTGCGACTGCCATGAAACATTAATTCGAAAAGGCATTAATTGATTTATATGTAAAAATGCATTTAAGCGCGACGTGAATGGAATTTTTTTACTGGAGATTTGGGGATGTGAAGTATGACAGGATTGAATTATCGAAGGAACTGGAAGTTTGTTGCTTATTTTACGAGATAACTTTAATGTTCTTCAATTGTAAACAATGAAAACTTGTTTTCCTATTTTTTCAATGTTTCAGTACCTTTACGAATTTCAGGGAACTCATTATTTGAATAAAATGTCTTGTGAATTGATGTCTGGCAATCAGTTATTCAAAACTTTATAAGAGTTAAGTTGTAAAGTTATTAAATAAAAAATGTCGAAGAAAATTTCAGACTTTCTCAAAGTTCAACCAAAATCATCAGAAACTGAATTGAGCAGTCCAAATGTAAAGAATCAAATTGAAGCCAAATTAGAAAATTCTCGAGATTGCCGAGTTGTTCTACATGATTTAAAAAAGACACCAATATTTAAAGATTTGAAGTTATTTGAAGGAGTTCTGAACAAATCTGAGGAAAGCACTTGCCAAATCTGCGGACAGAAACTATCGTCAAAGTACAGTGTGTAAGATTTCATCAAGGAGGTTATTTTAACTGCACAATTTGCAAAATTGCATTTTTAAACCAAAATAAATTAAATCGAGATTTTAAAATAATCCACAAGGTTGAACAAATTTTCACATTCGAATGCGATTTTGATGGTAAAACCTTCAAAAGCAGACTTGGTATTTTGAGTCACATGAAAATTCACCGTCAATCACGGTGATCGCACATTTTCATGTCGAATTTGTTCAAAAAGTTTAAAATCAAATCAATGTTTAAGAAATCACGAACAAACTCACAACAAGAAATTCAAGTGTGTTATTTGTAAACAAAAAAAAAGTTTCAGCTCGAAATCCGAAGTTGGCCCGACGCACTTCCAACAGGCAATGTATTCAACCATTAGAATACTTAATTTGCATAAGAAAGAAATCCATGAAAATCCAAGAATATTGGAATGTGAAATTTGTCACAAAAAAATTATTCGTAGACGTGATATGAAAAAACATCAAAAAATACACGACAAAAATCGTACGAAATCCTTCAAATGTCAATGGTGTAACTTTGCAACAGACAACAAATCAAATTTCGAAATTCATCTAAAGTTTCATAAAAAGAAAGATGAGGAACATGCAGCTATGAAGGATCCTGTAAAATGTGAAGAATGTCCCTCTCAAACAGCACATGAAATTTGTTCATACTAAAGTTTTCTTACAATGTGATTTATGAGCCAAATTTTTTAAAGTTCGATCTAATTTATTAAGACATTTTAAAATGATTCATATTCAAAAAATAAAATAAAAGTGTTAATAAAGTTAAAATTTTCAAAAAAAAAAAATAAGCTTTAAAATACATGTTTATTTGAACTCTATTGAAATTTCAAATTTTTAAAATCCGGTAAAAACTTAAATTTTAAAAATACGTTAAAAATTTAAATTTTAAAAATCCGTTATAAATTCAAACTGTAAAAATCTGTTATAAGTTAAAATCTTATGAATGCGATAGTAATTCAAATTTTGAAAATTCAAAACTTTGAAATTCAATTAAAAATTCAAATTTCCACTGACCGTTAAAAACGACAAACAAATATCGAGAACTTTAAATAAATTAATGGAAAAATAAAAAATTTATTGAGATGTCAGAATCAAGATAAAGATTTTTTCTTTTATGACTCGACCACAAGTTCATCTTCAATATTAATGAATATTTAATGACTATGAAATTAATGGACTATTTTGTTAAAAATAGAAAGGAAAACACGCTTTATGGAAATGCGGTTTTGGAAACAACAATAACAGATACAATATAAAAGGAGCAAAAAAAAAGAGAATCGAAAAATATACAATTTTTTTTGGATGGAGGATTTGGGAATTAAATTATAATTTATGTAATTTCTCATTTCATTATTATTTTGGGATTAATTATAATGTATGAAAAAAAGTTATTAATGAACGAAAATTACTGAATTCATAAATTATATTATTTAATTTCTCGGTTTGTGGTTTCATAAGTCATTCAGTCCCAAAAGCTCTAGAACAATTTTCGGAATGTGTAGACATTTAAAGTATTTTCTTGTCTCCTCCTTATTTTATAAGTGAAATTTTATACAACATTAATGCGATGACAAAAGGAAAAGAACTGAAATTCTAAGGAGACGTAAGAATGGAATTAAAGAATAAGAACAATAAAAATAAAGAGCTTACATTCGCTGAACAGTTTCAATTTCTCTTTATTTTGAATTCATTGTGAAAATTCTTTATTGTAAATCTTACTTTTTAAGGGATTAAGTTGATGATAAAATCTATTTGTGAGATTTTATCGTAAATCTATTGTCAGCAAGATTCTTTAAAGAATTGAGGTGGTTTTAACTTACTTAGATATTGTAAGTGAAGATGAATGAGTTCATAATTGAGGTGTTAAGAAACTATTTAATGAATGTCAAGCTATATTTTAAGAGATTACTGAAAAACAGCTGTTTTGTCGGTTTCAGAGATTTATGTCATGCTTTTATTGCTCTATGGAATGTATTAAAAGATTGCTTCGTATTAAGATTCGAACTTACATCCACAAACGAAAAAACTAGCGTAATCTAATCAGCTGGTACTGAACATATAATCGTGTTATAGCAGATTCGCGTTATTATGCTTAATAAACTCATGAGATTATGCTAGAAACAGATATAAAGTGACTAAGACCCAACACAATCTTTTGACAGTAAATATTGGGTTGGAAAAAAATCTAGACCATCCAACAAATTTCTTATCGCACCCCTGATTACACGAAATTTCATTAAAAAGATCAATATCAATAGGTCCCGCTGAAAAAAGGCATATTTAACCTAAAAACGATTTATAAGGTTAGAATCACTTCTAGAAAAAAAAACTTTTCTTTAATTTCCTAAACTGACCTTTCTAGCAATGTCCAGTAGATTGCTTCTTGAGATTCCTGGTGCATCTACCCCTAGTCTTAGGTAAATTCACTTAGGAAACTTCTGGAAATTTCCAAACTTCCGGTAGCTTCCCGAAATTTCCCAAAGTAAGAAAAGACTTAAATTCCTTTACCAACTCCAAATAAGGGAATATACACTTCAGTCGCATTAATATATCATGTCCTGTGCATTAAAATGCTTAAAGCAAAAACTTCTCAAACTTCGGGAAGTCTTATACATTTTTGAGAAACTTCCGGGAGTTTCTTAAGTGTGTACGCCTTGGGTAAATATATTGAAGCTCATGAAAATTGATTCCTACTCTAGAATACCTAAAGTAGCTTTAGAAACAGGCCCATAGGAGCATAAAATCCCAAACAACACGCACTAAGTTTTCCCGCCAATTAAAATAGTTTAAACCTTTTTTTGTATTGATAGAAAAATTTATCACATTTGGGACTTAGTAAATGTAAGATTATTTAAAAGCTAAGAGTTTTGACCCCTTCTAACTTCACCACAGAAAAATGCTCTCGATTTCCATTACAAATCAGACCATCGATATCTTATAATTTTAAATTAGCCGCACATTGAATCATCCCACATTGACTTTATTGCCTACACATGCAATTTTCTCAGACAGAAAATAAATTCAGAATCAATTAAATCCTATAAATCACCTTAGAGCAGCATGAGAAAAAAGTTACGATCCGATGAAAGAATACACTATGAACTTACTTATAGCTCATAACATCCAAACAGTTATAGCTGAAACCTTTTAAAAAGATTAAAATCCAATTGATAAATGAAGTGGAAAAAGAAAAAAAAAGTCCGAAAATATTGCAGTAAATTTTGCAAGGCACCAGAACTGAAACTATTCACGAATCACAGTCAAGCAAAGCCACATAGGAGAATAGTCAGAACATAAAAATCAATGACAATGGCAATGAATTGGAAAGAAAATGTTAATTTTATTCATTTAATTCAGACATAAGGTTTCATTTTATCGCGCTTAGGACGTCACACAATGAAAATGCTGTGTAAATTTATGTGCATGATTTAAAGCTATCGATTTAGCTTTAGTTAATGAACAGTTCTGCAACAAGTAACAGCTGAAAATTTATCTAAATTAAAGGATCAAAAAGCGATATTTTTTTTGAACGGTGCATTAACTTTTCCAATGGGATTAAGTATGTATTTATTGTTGCAATATTGTTGACATTTTATTACATTTGTAGGTATGATATTTAATCCATTACATTATTCATTTTAATCTACAGAGATGCTTTTATCTCTGATTGACTACATTTGGAATTAAAATCCATTATTCATCCTGTTCACTAACGATTTGATCGAAATCAAATGGATGGAAGAGCTGACCAGTACCAGTGTAGAACTTAGACATCAATTCAACCCAATGCAATCTGAGGGTGTGAAGGAAAGCTGACAGACCTTCCATACCAACGAGAATTGCTAATGTCCCCATAGCCCAGCATGGGAAAATGACGAAAATCATGGCAGCTCCAAGATAACCTTCGGATTTCAAACCAAATGAAAACACCATGGACCATAAGACTTCAGAAAGTTCTGGAAGAAGGAAAAAAAAAATTGTGTGTAAGAAGTATCTGGGGTCAGAATGGTTTAGGTACGATACCGTAGAAGGATACTAAAGCTATTGGCAACCTTTAATAACATATTGTCACACTGGGTACAGCACCACGAGTGGATGAAATATAGTTTGGTCCTTTATAAGTGCCAAACAGCATATAGATACATTTTATTTGATCCAGTTGCAAGTTATGGGTTAATGTGGGGTCATACTCAATCCTGCCAACACTTAATACGACCAAATAAGCCAAAATTTTCAAAAAAATACTTACGTGCATGAGCAAGCGACAAAGCCCATAATCGAAGATAAGAAGCTGTATGTGATACAGTACTTAGGACATATTCAATTGTGTGAATGCCTTGATGAATCCAAATTTCACTCATTGGTTCGTCATCATGTCCTCCATGTCCACCCTAGAATGACACATACAAACATCCATTAATAAAGCTATTGATTGACACAATCGCAATAATCTCAAACTGTGAATCACATGACACTTAACTACATGTGACTTTAAATCATCATGTGATTGATATTTTGTAATAAAAATTACTTACACCATGACCTCCCTTGCCTCGTGTGCATGCTATATATAATGGTTTACCGATCAACATCCATGGAACGCAAATAACTCCAGTTATAACAAAAATATTTTGTAACATTCCCTGTCCTTCATACATGTACTCTTGACATCCTTCTTGGAATTTATTTTCTCCTTGAAGCAACATATTGATGAAGTAAATCAATACAGAAGGAGCACATCCTGGAGACCATGGAGGTTCACTTTTTGGAGAGAAGACAAGCCACTTCCATACCATCATGAAGCACAAGTAAGCGAAGAGAAGGACGAGGAAGAGAAGTTGTGGCAAGAATTCCAAAAAGAGTGAGCTGTATTTTTTGAAATGGATATAATTAACAGCTGACATGAAGACACCAAGTGACATGTGAATGATACCAATAATGATTGAGAACTTCATCTTAAAGGAGTTCAAAAAGATGATTTTGTTTGTGGCTAACATCCATGTTGGGTCAATACCGAACCAGTAAGTTTCTCCAGTCTTCAAAAAGTCTTCAGATGGATTCAATTGCAATTGCACGTTAGTCATGATTGTACTGGTGTTATAGTTGTTTTGCCATGCCGATCCAAAAATATTCATAGTCTTTGAGAACACATCATTGTAGATGAATCCAGTATAGATCGAGAACATTCCCATAAGTAAGATGATGTAGCGACCGCCGAAGAAAATGTTGAAAATTTCACCTTTTGATCGATCAGCCATAAACTTCTTCTCCTTAACGACCAAAAACAATGCGAATAAGAACAAAATAAATCCATGTCCAACATCACCGAACATAACAGCAAATAAGAATGGGAAAGTGATAATTGAAGTCAGTGCTGGATTAGCTTCACGATAGTTGGCAACACCGTAAGCATCAATCAAGTTCTGGAAGCCTCTTGTAAAGCGATTTACACGATTAAATGTTGGCGGTTCCTCATCTGTCGAGATAACATTCATAAAAGATGGAACTGTAGAACCGACAGCCGTAGATCCATCTTGTAATGACTTCTGAACCAATTGCATGTCACTTGTTGGAATCCAGCATTCACCAATCAAACATTTTCTTGACACATCCATGTTGAATAAGTTCATTGTATGATAAATAGCCTTGATTTTCTTCACAATTATGATCCATTTTGGAAGGTCCTTAGAGACACTTACAAGCACACGTTGACGTTGATCTTTTGTTTGATTGATGACCATGTTCAAGTCTTGGAGTCGAACTAAGACACCTTTCAACATATCTTCACGTTCATCATAATTGTTTGGGCATGGATAAAGTGAAGCATGATATCCTGTACAAACTTTCCTGACACGTGTTTTCAATTGCTCGCCTTGGAAGAAAGCCACAAAAACATTCTTGTAGACTTCCTTGCCCTATTTTTTTTTTTGGAATAAAGGAAGAAAAATTCACGAGATTAGAAAAAAAAGTCATTAGGAGAAGCAATTTGTATTTTTTAAGTATCTAGAGATTAATAATAGGATTTAATTCTATTGTGTCATTTGAGAAAGGACTTTAAAAAGCATTTCAGCACGAGAATCTACTCATTTTAATTCACATCAAAATTTATATCTATTTCCTCTAATGTTTCAGCATCTTTCCACATTTACATTTTAGTTTCGAGATGAACATCCTTTAAATGATGAAACTTAAGTGAATGAGCAACTTGTATGTGCATGTACACTTATGAATCCCACATACTTATGGCACTTATGATACTTTAGAGAATTTTCCTCTTACTAGAATGTTAAATAATATTCATGGGAACTCAGGATATAAGTGTGAGTATAGCAAAAAAATATAGATGAAGTTTCATTGATTTCATGTTGGATGTAGATTGAGGAATAGGAAATTTAACGAATATTTTAAAAGAGTACTACTAAATACATAATATGCATATGTGAGTTTAAGTGGCTCGATGGCGAAATGGTTTAGCACTTCAGCATCTAATTATTCCGATACCATCCTAGCGATCAAAGGTTCGATACTCGGTATGAACAATTTTTAATATGCCCTTTTTCGATCTATAAATACTGGAAATAAAGATCACACTCTCCTTTGTAAAGGCTTAATGCAGAAATGTCATAAAAGTAGTGGTTCGGATCCTATCATAAGGATCCGGGCAGTCGATTGAAAGAAATTTTAAAACCCAGACATGGACATCGGATTAATAATCCTTTTAATAATCCTCCATAATGAAATCAGATGAAATGTTTTCGTTGTTCTGGATGAAAAAAATTTTCAAATCCATGCCTTGCTTAAAACCGAGATGTAACGTCTATTTGGAAGTAAGGGTTTTTAGCAATAGCTTAGGGCGAGGGGGAAGAGCAACAGAATTGTTGAGTGTCTGTCAACAATTACCCTTACTACGTCACTGGGTATGAAACCTATTAAATCTTACTTCATATTCCATAGAACACATATCGTCAAATATAAGACGATCGTATATCCCGAAAAATCCTGACAACCACTAATTAAATTTTCACGCAACCTAATTTCTAAAATACATCCCATATGCTACCTTTCAACCTTCTCCATTCACACTTTTAAAATAAAGTCACATGAAGTTTATAAATAACTTTATGTCCCATCTGTAGACAGTCATTAATGTCAATAGAATTAACTCCCTTTTAATTTATAGACTCACTCATAACACATCCCAATATTATATCTCATGCAAAAAGTTGCTTCCTACTCATTTGGATATTTCTAAATCTTCTCAGAATTTTTTTATCCATTTCACTGAAAGTTGCCCCCAAGAAATATTCATGTAATCCCATTTAAGTACTTATAAAGGATCCCAACAAATTTTTTGTCCCTTTTTTTCCTTTTCTCACTCCTGCCACTCGACACTCGACCATAAAAACCCTTTTTTTCATTAACTCATTCATGAACACATCCATTGATGCGTACATACCGTTTTCGGATCAGTAAATGGCTTTTCTATATCCGCTTGTCGCAAGAAAACATTTCCACGGGAGATGCGCCACAAAATTCTCTCAAAACCCAAAATCCTTTCTCGTTCAATAACGCCAGCCACAAATCCAAGTTGTTGTGTTTCTCCTACATCTTCCATTTTTATTCCCTCTAAATTTGTCGAGGCTGCTTGCTCAGAGAAAAAGGACTGTGGGTGGAATAAAAAAGAAAAGGATGGTCATTAAATGCTGATAGATAAAAGGAATGAATTGAGATTTAAGGAAAATAAATGGAGCATATTAAATTACTTGTGTCCTCTCGAGTACATAGCGGAGTTCCGTAAGCTCTTGGAAGTTTTGCAACAACTGTGCGAAATTTTCAGACAATTCTAAAATTTCATTTTCCGTCTTTTCAAATAGCGCCTCGAGATCGATAAATTCACGGGGATTTGGAACGGGTGGTAAGTCTCCGCTCAATTCACGAACTTCCATTTCATCCTTGATAAGCTCCTTCTTAATGTAATTCACTTTTCGCTCCATCTCATCGCATCGTCTCACTTCGGCAATAAACTTACGTTGAAAAGCATTAAGCTCGGGATTAAGCTGTGAATGGGATGAAAGAGAAAGAAAAGAGAATAAAATCATGTGACTTGATGACATTTTGAGTTAATAAACAGTTATGATTATGATTATTATGGCGGGGATATCATATGGAGGAGGCAATGGAATGTGTAAATATGATGAAAAGTGAAGATTAAGAAGAAGCCGAGTTTATGAAGTGTACTTATATGCAAATGATCCTATTTAGAGCTATGTATAGACATGATTCTTGTCGTGACAGTTTTTAACTCATTTTATGAATGGGATGATCTTATTATGCTTGACTTGGGGATGTTAACATTTATATTGAGGAAGATATTGAATCGAAAGTTGAGCCTGAAATTTATGCAGTAAAAAATCTAGTTTTGTTCTCAAGTTTGACTCGTTCTGAGCCTTTATGTCAGTATTTAGATTTTATTAGACCAGTGGTTCTCAAACTGTGTCTCGCGGCACACTTGCGTCATGGCACTTTCATTAGTCACGTTAAATCAGATTCCATAGATTTGATAGATTTTTGATTCTGGCATAGAATACCCCGAAAGCTCAAGACAATGGCCCCTGTAATAATTATTATGCCAAAATTTCAGCTATTGAACCGCAAACCTTACAAGCATAAGAAACACCAGTCACAGCTCTTTCCCAATATGTCGTCGTTCAAAATAAACTCAATAAATTCAAATTTAAGCACGTTTTCACAGAGCTCGAAGTCAACTCGAGATTTTCATCGATTTTGAATGGCGAAGTCGACTCTACTTCATACAAAATTTCATCGACTTTGAGCTCTGCTTTTTCATGATAAATGATTAAAATTCATTTATTGATTTAGCAAAAAAAAAACTTTAATGTCAATATTGATCAATCAAGAACAACATTTTCTCTCAAACTTTGTGATTTTTGCAGATTTTTTTGTGATATTTTGTGAGGACAGGATTATGGAATAAATCCTTGATAAAATTTGTTGAGGAAAAATTCAGAAAAGCTTCATTCAACGATGCTGCATTGTTAGACTAAATTTAGAATTTATAAAAAATTCTTGAAATTGTTTGTTTAAGCATTATATCCATGAGCTATTGATCCAACGGGGGGAAACAACATGATAAAAAAGTTCTGATTATTGATATTTAGCCTCGATATGAATTCATTTTCAAAACCTTTTTTTCATCATGTTGTTTTCCCCCTTATGTAAACTTTTAACAAGTATATCCAACAACCAAACTAATGACCATCCTTGAAATAACAATTCAACTCTTATCAAAGAAATCTGCCGCTTTCAAAATAAAAAAGTCATTAAATCTAATTTGCCGTCTATAAAATAAAGTAAACAGCACATCCGATTGACCTAGCAACACATTCCAAAAAACACATCGGAAAAGAGTTAACGACCATCGCTTAAAGGATAATCCAAAAATAAAATTGTCAACATAATTATCATAAATGAGTATGAGCTATTCATATTATATCAACACATGATAAATCAACATAAAAAAATTCATGACTGTCACCCGACATAATTCGATAAGTTGAAAAATATGTAATGAGATTGGGAGGAAAAAAATCATGAATGAACATATTTACTATAGCTGTGCTAGCTTCTGAATGTCAATAAATATTTATTAATTGATAGTGAATGCTAATCAATAAACATCGTAGCTCCTATCGTCCAATAATATGTCACAATATCAAGCAACACATGTCAGAAAAGCTGACGACGAATGACAATTAAAGCCACTACATTATTTCTTCTAATAGTAACTTGAAAAGACAACGATAAAAAGTCTTTATCAGCTCATAAAAGTCGTTGTACTTAATACTATTGCCTTGTTATCTTATCTTCTCATTTTCTGCTTCACATTTGTTTCTTTTGTTTAATAGGGTTGTAGTAGATTGTTGTTACGAAATAGACTAAGTACTTAAGGCATCATGTGACTGAAAATTATTTTTAATTCTTTGAGAAAGTTGTTAAAATTTGGATAATTTCTGGTTGTTTGGAATAGTTGAGTGGCTAGATCTATTTAATAAAGGTCTAGGAAGCTATTAAACTTGTGCTTTTGGATACTTTTAAACAATGTTGACTTGAACTAGGTGATTTAAACTCTACAAAAACTTATATAAAAGTCTGTTTTTCGTGTGTCGTTTGGTCTATTCTACTTGATTTCTTAAGATAGGACTGGAAGTCCTCAATTTGAATTCTGCAAAAATCCTGTTTAAATTGATTCTATTCAAATCGAGGACCTCCAGCACATTTATTAAAGTTAAATTATGATGTTTAAGCAGCCTGGAATCTAGGGTACTATGCTATATATGTAGCGTAGACGAAGCGACTAGTGCAACAGAAAAGCCTCCGTGGCTGAATGGCAAGTCAACAGATCAGAAACAGACCCTCTGCTTTCAAACATGAGTTCAATTCCTTTTAGATATTGAGTTTTCACTCATTGCATGGATTGTGTTAATATAACTAAGATTGGCACCAAGCTTCAGGACATTACAAGGAAAAATGTTCTGAACTTTACGTTACATGTCCATAATCGTGGTTTTTCTGAGTAATTTTCAAATAATCGCATGAATTTTGGTAGTTTTATGTGTAGCTGCAATAAATTATGCTTGTAGTGTATCCAGACCGATACCTGCCTTTGCTATAAAAAATCACTTAAAGTTTTTTAAACAACCCAGTTGAGGTGATAATTACATTATTTTTTTGGAAACAAAAAGTTAAAATATTGGAATTTATAGCTCAAAATTATGGCATGCAAGAAATTCTACAAAATAATTAAATGAATATTCAGCACCTTTCTGAATAATTATAGGCTTTTCTTCACAAAATTTTTAAGTTTCTTTCAATTTGTTCCTTAAAAACGTCCATGCAACCTGAATAAAAAGCAAAAATAATAGCCAGAGTCTACATACTCTCATAAAACGAAGGTAGACGTCCATTACATAACAGCTCCATCACCATCGAAATAACAGTTCATGACCAGATGACATAAATCACTTTTCCTGTAACAATTACTTACATCACGAAATTGTGCAACACCAATTTCACCAAGCTCAGCAACAGTATGATATGCTGCCTCTGGCTGAATAAACAGCTGACACAGGGTCATTTCATCGCTTCTAAACATCGCACCCATCTTCGGGCTGGTGTTGAATGAATTTCAATGTTTCGCAAAAAAAAGGCACTTGATGGCTTGCTAATTAGCAGAAAATTAACACAAAAAGGATGTTGAAAATTTTTTATATATTTTTTGAGCCCTTTTTTCCACTTCTTTGTTGGTTGGCTCCTCGAAAACTACTAAACATTTAATTGAGCAATTAATTTAAGTCGCTGTGTGAGAAATGGAAAATTCTTATCAGCTTGTTGAACAATTCTTTTATCTCATTTGGGTGCTGATAAAGTACAATAAGCACGTGAGTATCTGAAAAGTTTAAAAGAATAACTTACTCTGTGTCTTTTCTTCATCCTACCTACAATACTACTCTACGATTTATTTTTTATTTATTATTGTTTTTTTTTTCACATTATTATTTTATATAACAGCACTTTTTCATAGCTTAATAATTGACATAAGTAATTTGATCTATTCCTCTGTCTCGTCCAAAATTATTTTGAATGAGAATGGCTGGAAGGGACATCCGAGACCTTCGTAGAATTTCGACATAAACTCAACCCAATGCAACCGAAGAGTGTGGAGAAAAGCTGACAATCCTTCCATCATGACTAAGATTGCGAGTGTGAAGAATGCCCAGAAGGCAAACATGATGTAGATCATAATTGGTCCTTTTATTGGATCACTTGTTTTAAGGCCTAATGCAAGCACCATATTCCATAATACTTCTGACAGCTCTGTGGATGAGATGATGGAAACAGAGATAAAGGAATTTAGATTTTTATGGCATATAAATTGAAAATATATCATTTTAAATATTGCATGACATTTCTATTGAGTTGGAAGCTTGAGGTTTGGGATTTTTGATGTGAATATTGACAGTCTTATTATTAATAATTTGTGTAATAAAGTATTCTTTTAACAAGCCATAGAATGTCCCTTTATGTGGGATTTTAAATTGTCTTTTCATTACTCTCCATGCGAAAGCCACGATTGATTTTTTTGAAAGGCAAATGAGTGTCTATACTAACCCCCATCCTCCTCCTACAGATGGTGAGATGAAAATGATTTGTAATAGAAAGAATGAGTATCAAAATGACCATTTACAAAAAGTCTCTTAATGGGGTCATTCACCTATGATGTCCGTCAAAAAACAACTTTTTAGACCCCTCTCTCCCTACCCCTTCTGTCACAAAATTTGTATGGGAAAAATTGTCTTTGTTTGAACTTTCACAATATTCTAAACTCCTCTACCCCTAAATCTTGGACAACATAAGTCAACGACCCCTTACCCACACCCTCCCTTACTTCTTTGGTATCAGTTCTTAATAAAAACCCAAATAACACGTTAAAGCAACATATATAACGATCAGCATTCCTCATATGACTTGTTTACTCTTCTCTACTTGATTCTCAATCGCAATTTAATATTGAATTAGCATTAAAATCTCGTAGGGGTTTCCCCATCGTAAAAAAACCTCTCCATGAATGAGCAGCAAACTATTTTTACAACTGAACGAATTCAATAAATTCCCCAAGAATATCAAATGATCAGTCGTTAATAATTCTACAGCATTTAGAAACTGGTTTTCACCTATTTGGAATTTAAAAGGCAGTACTCAATATACACATCTGTGCCTCAACTTAAAAAAGGTTCAACAGATACTTCTAGAGATAAAAAATAATACTCACGTGCATGAGCAAGCGACAAGGCCCATAATCGAAGATAAGAAGCTGTATGTGATACAGTACTAAGGACATATTCAATTGTGTGAATGCCTTGATGAATAAAAATTTCACTCATAGGTTCATCGTCATGTCCTCCTTGACCCGACTCTCCATGTGCTGTTGGTGCTAATTGATCAGGTGTTTCAGGTGTCATTTCCATAGCTTGATTTACATCACCATTATGTCCAGAGACTTTATTATGATTCTTTCTTGTACACATAATATAAAGTGGCTTTCCCAGCAACATCCATGGGATGCAGAGTAAACTGATGAATACAAATGATTTTTGTACTAGATCTTGATGTGGATACATGTATTCTTCACATCCTTCAAGTGGTGGTGTCTTCTTGAATAACATCATATTAATGAACATGATAAGAACAGATGGAGCACAACCTGGTGAGTATGGCTGTTCCAATTTTGGACTGTATGTGACCCATTTGAAGAACATCATGAAAACCATGTAAGCAAACAGCAGAACAAGGAATATAATTTGTGGAAGAAATTCCAATAAAATGTAGACTCGACGACGGAAGAAGTTGTGATTGAATGTTGACATAACGACACCAAAAATCATATGAATGACACCGAAAATAATTGAAAGTTTCATTTTGTATGAATTAAGGAAGATGATTTTGTTTGTTCCTAACTGCCAGACTGGATCGAGACCCCATTCATAAATATCTGTTTGTAAATCTTTACTTGATGGATTGAGCTGCAAAGTTGGATTCTCCATAATTGTACTCGAATTGTAATTAATTTTCCATTTTGATCCAAAAACATTCATTGATTTTGAGAATAAGTCGTTGTACGTAAATCCTGTATACATTGAGAATATACCCATAAGAAGAATGATGTAACGTCCACCAAAGAAGATGTTCCAAATTTCATTGTTTGTCTTTTTGGCACCCAATTTTTTCTCGCCTGAAACCATCCAGAATCCAAACAGGAACATAATTAGACCATGTCCAAGATCACCAAACATAATACCGAATAAGAATGGGAATGTAATGATTGTATACAGTGCTGGATTAACTTCTTGATAACTAGCTATGCCATAAGCGTCAATCAAATTTTGGAAGCCACGTGAAAATTTGTTCGTACGATTGAATGTCGGTGGATTCTCGCGAGTTTCAATGACATTCAAGAATGATGGAATTGCTGAGCCAACAGCCGCTGAACCGTCAGTTAATGCCTTTTGGACTTTTGGAAGATCTGGAACTGGAACCCAGCATTCACCAATTAAACACTTTTTGGTCACATCCATGTTGAAGAGATTCATTGTGAAGTAAATTGCCTTCATTTTCTTGACCATAATTGACCATCTTGGGATATCCTTAGCGACATTGTTGAGGACACGAGTACGATGATCCTGAGTTTGATTCAAGACCATATTGAGGTCCTCTAAACGAGTTAAGACACCTTTCAACATTTCATCACGTTCCTTTGACTCACTTGGGCATGGATAAAGTGAAGCATGGAAACCTGTGCAAACTTTCTTGATGCGATTCTTCAATTGTTCTCCTTGAAAGAAGGCACAAAAGATTGTTTTGTAGAGTTCATTGCCCTGGAATTAAAAGAGAAATTGTCATGACTTTAAAATCATAAATGATTAAGTTTGACTTACAGTTTCTGGATCTTCCAAAGGATCATCCAACTCAGCTTGTCGCAAGAACACATTACCACGAGATATACGCCACAACATACGCTCAAAGCCTGGAATACGTTCACGTCGAATTGTTCCAGCAACAAATCCCAAACGACCACGAGTTTGTCCTGCTTCTTCTTGTGTAATCAAGTTATTTCCAACACCCAAGACATCCTCATCATGGAAGAATCCTTGAGTCTTTTCCAAAACGTGACGAAGCTCAACCAATTCCAAGTAATTTGTCTTTAAGTTGACTGCATTTTGGGAAAGTTCCATCATTTCATTCTCGGTCTTTTCGAGATGAGCTTCAAGATCGATAATTTCACGAGGATTTGGTGCACGTGGAATGTCCTCACAATCCTTAATTTTAACTCCATCCTTCTTTACTTCTGATTCTACATAACGAATCTTACGCTGCATTTCATCACATCGACGAACTTCACCAACAAATTTCCTTTGAAATGCATTGACTTCACCGTTAAGCTGGAAAGGATCAGTAAAGTAAGTAAATCTAGTCAATGACAATAATAATCAGCAGCACTTACATCACGGAACTGAACAGCACCTATTTCGCCAAGCTCGGAAACTGATGAATATGCAGCTTCTGGTTGGATGAACATCTGACAGAGCGTTATTTCCTCTGATCGAAACAGCGTCCCCATCTGTTTGCCCGGAACTTCCGCAGTTGGAACTATGAATGAAATTTTAAAAGTTTTTGTTAGCATAATGAAATGGATATTATGTTTTGGAACTATGTTGTGTGAATGTTATTAGTCTTTGAGGTTGTTAAATGATCGTTTGTGCTTATTGTATTAATATAATGTGTCACATGAGAACTCAATGGATACTCATGTCCTCAAATTTCGGAATAATGAGTGCTAAGACTATTCAATTCAATACTGGGGGTCCTCGATTTGAGTAGATTCTATTTGAGTAGATTCGATTTGAACAGAAAATTTATTACCCACCAAAATATTCGATTTGAGTAGATTTCTTCCTGTTTTCTTCGATTTGAATTGTTTACAAAACAAATATTTTTGATAAAAACATTTCAGAAAATAATTTTAAAACATAAATTTTACTGCGATAAGCGTGAACTTATCATATTGATAGAAAAATCAATACTAAAGTTACAAAATTAAAGTAAAAATTTAAAAAATCGATATAAAATCAACGATTTTAAAAAGTTCAAATTCAAAAACCTTACAAATTGTTCAGTGAAATAACATTTGCAAGGTTCTCATATTTTTGTTTTGTTTCAAAAACATTTTTTTTGTGAATTTCCGTTTAAAAACAATATGAATATGCGTTGAAATAAATTAAGTTATCGAAAACACAAAGGAAAAGTTAAGAAACGAGGTAAAATGAGCAAAAAATGATCAAAATTTTCATTGTTTTGATACATTTTTTGGACTCAGGAACAAAACATGTAATTTTGTATGGATTCTTTGCTTCGATTTGAATAGATTCGATTTGAGTAGAAATTTTTTGGAACAAAACAACTACTCAAATCGAGGACCCCCAGTACTGGACTTTCAAATTTGTAGCAATTTATTTAAAAAATTAGAGTTTAAGTGCTAATTCTTCTAAATTTAACAAATAATGATTCAATAATGTCCCTCAAAAATGAGAGGATGTTGATTTCGTGTTTCAATTATTTTTTCAAAATATAATAAAAAGCTTTTAACACATTTTAATTTTAACTGCATTATCGACACTTGACTGAAGTGATAAATATAAAGTAATAGATCATGTGACATGTGTCTAAAAAATAGATTTCGAGCATATCTTATTTTGGCAATGTGATGTATGTGACGAAAAAAGCATGATCAAGCATGATTTAGGTACAAGCATGATGATCTTTCTATATTCTATTTAAATGAATTCATGGAAGTTGTAGATGAAGTCTATCCAAAGATTAGGGTTGCACCCACCCAGGGGCGGAGCCAGAAAAAATTTTAAGGGGGGCCCATTTTCGAAAATTAAAAAACTGTTATTTTGTATCCTTAAATCTATATTCATTCTTCATAAGTTTAAATATTTAATTCATTATTCATACATTAAATTTAATTTTTCGTGCTGATTTTGACATTTCTTTCATCACTTCCTCTACATTAACTGGTTCTTCTCTATAAATACTCAATAAAACAATTATCAGGTTTTGTAGGGGGGGCCCGGGCCCCCTATGCCCCCCCCCCCCCCCCCCCGGCTACGCCCCTGCAGCCACCCTAGTCCTCGAACTTTTGAATCAAGAATGCTAATAAGGAAGCATTTAAGTTAGCTCTAATAGCTAGATAAAGTGGATCAGACTTTTTTCAGATGCAAATCAACTCCACCCTCCACCCCAATTTTCTTCCTCCTATCCTGAAAATTTCTTTTGAATACTTAGGTCTGTTTTCAATGGTCAAATGTCCTTTTCTAAACTTCTCAGCCCCCTGTTGTAGGCTACATGCAAAAATGTCATTAAAGAAGTGGCTTGAATCACACTATGAGTTGTAGATCCTAGATGCTGAGCGATATGCTTATCACATATCCTCACAATTTAGCCTACAATAAGTGACATTGATACAATTAATACCCTAACACCTATGAACCTTGCTATGCCTCGTTTTTACTCTTCCCATACTTCTTATTTGTTCTATCTTACGAAGCCATCTAGCTTCTCTTTTATGTATGAGACAAAATAATGTGATCTAGGTCTAATGATTAGGCAAATGAGAGCTTTAAGCATGATGCTAGTCTAGTGAGCGGGATTTCAATTTTTACCTCCGGAAATTACGTAAATGGCGTTGGAGAGCATTTTTTATTTAAATTGCAATGAAAGCTTAGATTTATACCAAAATCTAAGAATTAACGTAACTTCCTTGATTCTACACGAAAATTGAATAACGAAGATTTCTTAGAAATTGGACCGGTAAGGTCATCAAAAAAAATAAATACATACATATTGTTATATCAGTTGACACCCTTTTTGATTTCTTATTTACCGCCCAAAATAAATAATATAAATGAGCAATAGTTTGCCTCAATAATCGAATTTCCGATATCACTCAAAGATAAAACATCATAAATGAATTTTTATTTCAGGAAGAGCGATGCCGCAATCACATCAAACTGATAACGAGTTAATAAGAACAAAAATTGCAAATCAAATATTAGTGGATGTGAGTAATTTTTTTACGCTGACTTTTCATGCAGCTACATGACAATATGTTTGAAACTTCATAAATAGTTTACAATAATTCAAATAGTTCTAATATTCATAGTCACATTCGGTTTCATGTTTCAGTGATTTTTTTATATTTCAACAAATGTAAAATGAGGGTCTATGGAAGCGAAATGCACACGTCGATAAGGTAAATTACTAGCCATTACTACAGAACGTGTTTGCAAAATAATGCTCGTAATTTGATTTATTAAAAGTGCATCAAATTTGTAATTATAGATACAGACGGAGAATTGAGTTGGTTGTAAAAATATACAAGAAATAATTTGAGAACTGGAGACTTTTGTTTGATTATATTACAAATTTGGCGCGAAAAAAATTTTAAAATAAACAATTTCAGTAAGGTTAGAGGATTTTAACAATAATGAAGTCTCAAATGATATTATAAAAATCGGAATAATTGCAATTTTAACAATTTTTATGGTTGTGGCCAACCTTATAGTTTTTAAAAAATTAAATTGTTATTATTTGATTTAATGTTTGTATTTAATAGGCTAACGGAATGTTATATAGAAATAAAATAGCTTATAAAATTAAACTCAACTTTTAGGATAGATTCAGAACTAAAACAAAGGCTCAGCGTGACAAAGAATCAGTGAGATTTTTATCGATTTTGTATGGAGGAGTCGACTCGACTTCATACAAAATTTCATTGAGTTCGAACTCTGGAATCAGCTATGCTTAGGAGTCTGTTCTTTGAAACGTTAGAAATTTTTCCAATATTTAACAATCTGGTTGCACGATTCCCCGATTCTTAAAATTATCAAAATTATTACTATAGTGACAAAAAAGTAAGTCAGATGATCTGACATAAACATAGGGTGACCATCTGCGTAGTTTTTCAACGGACAGTCCTGTATTTTTCAAGACTGTCCTGTATACATTTTTAAATTTTGTTCTTGGTCCTGTATTTTTTTCATGAAAATTTCCGGGAATTTTCGAATTTTACTCTATGTCCTGTTTTTTTCGAAAAAATTTACCAAATGTCCTGTATTTTCATGAAAATTAGATGGTAACCCTAGTCAGATCTAAACTTTTTATTTGATTAAACCTTAATGAATCCCGTAGACAAATGTCTTGTCTGATTACAATAAATACCCAATATACATTCACAAAATTCTTTAGAACCAAAAGAGATTCAACGTTTATAAAATATTGAATTATTTTAGACCCCATTAGTCCCTTATCACAAATCTCAAGACCTCGTTTTTAATTCAAAATTCACAGAAATCCTAGAGCCCAAATGCACTCTATACGATTCATTCCATATTTTACATTTTTCAACAAAAATTAATTAAGTTTTATTTAATAAGAAAAAAAAAATAATGAACATCCCATAAACCTCAATAACCACAAAAAATAAAATTCAACATTTTCTTAAATCGAATGTCAATCGAGGAACAATAAAGATGAACACATGAGATTTAAATTATTATTAATATCTCCAATATCGATTGCTTCGTGTTAAAGTCATGTGACTGTAGAGATGAATACTATGAGTCAGTGGTGTGCAACCTGTGTGCTGTGACACTATACTCTTTAGAGGATTCTAAGGCGTGCCTCATAAGTCTGTTAAATTCGATCTAGGAATTTGCTTGAAAAATGTTGCGCACTACTGCTATAGAAAAGTATTGTTGATTATCCAAATGGGAATTTCATGATGAATTCCCGGAAAGAATTTAAATTATTTAAAATAAAATAATTTTCAGAACAAACTGTGCATGTGAAAGTTTCCAAAAGTCATTAACTCAGAACTAAGTTTTGTAAAATTATTATAAATTTGTATGGGGCTATTTACTTTGACGATAGTCTCCGCGGCCAGCCATAATAAAGTTTCAAATTTCTCTTGACAAATTTAATAAGAATTGATAATGGTCAACACGATTCGAATTAAGGCACTGCAATTTAAGCTTAAAGTTGTTTTTCTTTCTTGCAATTCGCAACTTTTTTTCTTTTTCCTGAATTTTTTTATTATTAACTCACAACACTTGATACTTTTTTATTCAACAACACATCATGACTTGAGAAAGCCGCATAGCAAACTGCCTGTCAAAAGCAACCCGCCGCAAGTCTTATGTCTACTTAATACTTATTCTTTTTTCTCTCAAAAAAGAATTATTGTTTTAGTGGAGCGGTTAATGTGTGTTATATGTCATATTTCTTTTATTGTATTATTTTTTTTGTCTTCGTTTGTTAATTTACATTTATGTGTGACATCACACAACGTGTTGTCGATGACGTTATGCCTTTAATTTTTTTATAGTATGCAAAATATAATTGTAAAGTTTTTTAATTGCACTTGTAAGTATCTTTAAATATTTATCAATATTTGTATATTATGAAGCTCTCAATTTTCGCTCAGTAAACACCACATGTGTGCCTATAGTTTAAACTTTATAGGAGTAGACTCTTTTATGTTTGGAGATTTTTTTTACCGGTTTTTGAATTATAACAATTTGTTATTG